TTGCATTATTATCAAGTAACAGCAGTTTCTATTATCACACAGGGACGAAGTACTGCTTTGTCTGAACACCTCTTTTGCCGGGCTCTTTTATCTATGTTTGGTATAATCATGCAGCCCGTTCTTCTGTGGACGATATCTTCTTTCATCGTTAGCGTATCGGGACTTGTTTTCGGGGACCTCCAACGTAGGTGACGTGAGATGTTACCGACTCCGCTAGACTCCAGGAAGATAACTATTAGCCTCAGTATCTCATTCAACATCTCATATATAGTAGAGAAGACAGAATTGTACTTCTTCTTATAAAATACACAATTTAGATTGCGCAGAGGTAAGATGTCTTATAACCTATCACGCTCGTTTCAAATAGTTTAATGTCCTAATTATGACCAAAATTATTCAGACCGGTGTTACACTTTTGCACCATGCGCTGCAAGAAGAGGTTGGCCAGAAACGTGGGCAACCGCGTTGACAGTTCTCCATCAAATCGTTGGCATATGCGTATTGCGATTGGGTTTCGGAAGCAATTCATGCAGCTTTCGCTTCGATGGCGTTTCTTGACGATAAACTAGTCAAAGAAGTTCAGCTGACGTTGTATGCTTTGATTACTTGAAGCGGATGGGGCGCACGGGTTACCCAAGTGTCAACAAAAAAACCAAACAACAGCCACCTCGTACATTAACAAAAATGCATTTTTCAGTCGCTGATTTTGGAATAGCGTTGCCAAAAAATCCACTTTAGGAATCCGCGACAGAACATGATCGCTTGAAAATCTAGCGTTCGCACTACGCATGGTAGTAGTAGACATTTTCTAAAAGTTATTGAAATTTAAAGCAATTTAAGTATATTGTACAGGGCATCAATTGAAAATTCTTTTGGTTATTTTAGGATCTCCTACGAATATGACTGACCAGTAATGTAAATCAATGCTAATGTATTAGACAAAAAGCGGCTCGAGTTGGGCCGGCTTTTCTTTAAAGAACGAAATTTTCCAGTATTGACAGACGGAAGATTGCTCTTCGAAATTGTACGCAAAATATTAGACCGTCCAAGTTGGTAGGTTATCCTAACGAGGATACCGATTGAGGAGCATGGATGCGCTATATCTGAAGATGCGTTTAACACGGTGCCTTCATTCAATATTTGCTAATAGTTGATTATCACACAAGATATATATTGCATGAAGACTGATCATTAGAAGCTACTACTTTAACACCTCGGAAAGAAGATTGCCTAAGAGATTCGTTAGGTGTGAAACTGTCATAGCAAGCTTTGCTGAATCAACAGGCCCGTTAGCGACGGCAACAACAGCTATGGCAAAGAAGCGAGCATATACCGAGGGGCATTAGATAAGCTTCGAACATCACAGTTAACACTGATACGAGCTTTCGTCGTCAACAGTGTTAACTGATTGCCCAGAACGTCAATAATCGAAAGGTACTACCGAACGGATGAGGAATGCATTGGTGAAGACCGAATGTTGAATAGGCACTAAAGTCGAAGTGGCGATGACCGAGCCATCGTCACGAACTGTGCAGGAATAGTTCAACATTAGATGCAGTTGCGATCATACAGCGGCGGAAGCCAACAACGAACATGTGTGGCGTGTACTCGGCCGACATTCACAGATCAATAATAACTCAACGACTTTTGAATAAGAGCACTTTTAAGAGATAAATGATACTGTACTTCGACCGCAAGTTGTTTTCTGTTAGAGAAGATCGGTCGTTTGCACTTAGATCTATGGGACATATCGGGGATAAATTTTATGCCCAAAATAGACATTAAATAATACTTCGAACGGCTGTCTTCCAGCACAAAGCAAAGTATTTTCTCATTTTATGTATCCCTAAATATCATAGGCAAACACGTTGATGCTAGAAACGTATCAAACCCTTGACTAGTTTTTACTTCGAATCACCTAATGAACCAAGAATCTGTCATCGAACAATTTTAAATCATTTGAGAAAGCTGACTACAAAAAGTTCAATGTTTGGATACGATATAATTCTGCACAAAAGGCTTTAACCGATCGTATTTTCAGCTGAAACTTCGCAAAAACACAGCGAACTCCTTCTAAAACGTTTGATCCGAAGTGGTAAAAGGCAGATCACATACATCATTCATGTACAAATAAAAACACGTCCTCCACAATCGCTGGCAACCCCCAGACTGACACCAAGGAACATGACGTTATATGGTAGAGGGTCGCGGATCATCAATTGTTACCGCTTTCCGAAATGACTGATTCAGCCTTCTGCTGTCAACAGCTAACAAAGTCACAACAAGCCATTGAAAAAAAATTGACTGGAACTAATAAGCACAAAGGATATCACCTTCCATCGTGACAATATTAGACCAGATTCATCTTCTGCTGCTCAGCAGAAACTCAGAGAACCTGGATAAGTAATTTTGATGCATCGATCGTATAGTCCTGATCTTTCACCTTCGACTATTATCTGTTTCAGTCTTTGCAGAACTCCCTTAATGATGCAGTGAAGTTAGTTTCAGTGAAGGGACCTGAAAGTCACCTGTCACATTATGAGTTGAACATGCGTAGCTATTACCCAGGTTAGCAACGCCAACAACGGTACTAAATGGAGAGAAAATCGATAGAATAAGCAGCACTATACAAATGGCAACAGTTTCGTATAAGCTTACCATTTTATTAGTAGGGTTCTATTACGACACTCGAGCCGCGTTAAGCTATTGAGTATTTAGGCCCACAACTCGTAAAAGCTAGCCACACGCACGGGGGATTCCACAAAACCTAACTTAGGTCAAATACTGCTACTGACTTAGCGCATGTTTCACTAGAACCTATTTCAACCAGCGCTACAGCTAAGAGGTCGGGTTAGGAAATTACCTGAGCCATTGCACGCCGTGACGCATCTCTGCCTGGAAAGACAGCCAGACCATACTGAGTTAAGGCGAGTATTTGAAAAGCTACAAAAATGCAGCCAACAAAATTTAAAATAAAAATGATGCTTCTGAAAGTAAATGTTGTCAGACGTAACCTATAAATAACAGTACCAAATCCTGAGACTCAAGCCTTTTCGAGTCTCACCTTGGAGGTTCGCTCATTGTTTCCAACGACAACTGCGAAGGAATTAAATCGACGGGATACGAAATATATCGACACACGAAGAGAGCTCAGAGCTGACTTAACGAACCCTGTGATGATGTTAGAGTTGCAGTACTCGAGTACTCTTTAGAAGCTATTTAAGGAGAGATGGACGGTAAAACCTAACCGCTTTAGTTTTTTAGTACATAGTAAATTTCTGCGATTCGTTTATGAAGGTTGCTAGAATCCTAAATGCAATTTTTGCGTCTGCAGAAGCACGGGAAGTAACGAAAATCATCGCTCCGTTCTATCTATATAACGACACATGGAACAGCTCATAGCCTGCGAATTATTGGCAAGTAGGTTTTTAGGCTACCTAGCGGATGCAGAAACCGTCTCTGACCCAAATGATTGAGTTTAGCTGGCCGTCCCGCCGGCCAAATAAGTGGTGCAAGGATACACGCCGTACGTGCAGTGTCCGTCGATGTGGGGAAGGTGTTTGACTGAGTCGATAAACAAACTAAAAAAAAATACTTTGATGTATCCGCTTGTGAGGAAGGATACTAAACCTTATGGAGGATATGATGAACTTCTTCAAAGCAGATAACACGATAGCTAAAGGGGAATCCATGAAACAAGCAACCTACGCAATGCGCAAGGTGGCTCCAAAACACCTTCGCTTTTTTGGAACGCGGACGCATCTTTATAGCGGTGTCAGCGTTAAAAGGCCTGTTTGTTCATGTACAGAAGCAGCTTCTAGAAAACTTTAAGAAACATGGAAGAATCGGCGCATTTATGTTGATTCCGCACGGAATTAACGCTAATCTGGTGTCTAGGAAACGCCGCTGGCCTGAACACCGATAAAGCAAGCCCCATGGAATACAGAGAGGGCCGCCGAATGGGAATCCGGAGTTGAGATGTTACTAAAGCGCTCGAGGACAGTTATGCACGCGGCAAACAAACATTCGTCTCTCATCAATAACTACAGAAAATCACATGCAAAAATAGAAATAGAACTCAGAGTAGTTGAGTGTCGGGATAGAAAAACGATAATTTAATGATAATAAAGGTATACCAGTGAGCTTGCATTCACTAACAGACAAAAAATTTACCAGCTGGAACTTAAAATTAAGTTTTCCATGCGCCGAATCACGTGGCGTGCCGCCTTTTAGAGAAACAGCATCAACTGCTATTCCCCAGAAGAGAAAAGGACGCCGATATAGATATTGTAATTATGGGCAGATATCAGTGTATCACAACTTATATCGGCCGTGTATTATCAATAGGACGAAATATATAATAAAAATAATGGTTGATTAAATAAGCTAACAACTATATGCGAGCAAATCTGCTTTTAGTGGCTTCTGTGAAATCAATGTTTGTTGGTTCTTTTTTCTGTTGTTGCTTGAACTGCTAACGCGCTTCTTCGAAACCTATAATAAGTCTTTCTATCTAACATGAGTGTACCAGGCAGTCTTACTATATAGCCCAAGTGAGCGTCCCAGAAACTCCCTCAAAAACACGATCATTTTACTGGCTACTTTAGACAATGGCGTATTTATCACCTTTTGTCTCAGTTGGTTCAGTAAATGTTTGTACGCTAAATGTAATGCGTTCCGTACTGGCGGAGCGTAGGGCTTTACATCTCGATACAGACGGGCGTGTCAATAACCCAGCCGTGAACCCAGACCATATTGTCGATTGTGCATAACGTCAAATCATCCTTTGCTCGATGCAGTCCCTTTAACCGATAAACTCAGCAATCTTTTTCTTCTTAGAACAAACGACGACCGTATTCATTAGTATACGTATACACTGTGTTCAAGTGAATCGAAACTGGTATTTTTACACAAAATATTTTGCAATCTTATAGGACAAAAACATTCTTATTGAACCCTATATATTTCTGTGTCATGCCTGGTATCTCATATATATATGTGGCTATCATCATATATACTGTTATAGAAGTTCAGCGGAATGACATAACAAACACCATCTTATATTATAACAGTGATTTTTTCAGTTGGATTTGAGCTAGATATTATATAAGACGTACGATCAACCTACTGCGCGCTAAAAGAACGATATGATTCTTTCGATGCTATGGCCATATAGACATTGTTCGTTGTGTTTCTTTATCTTTATACATCTGATTTTTCTTTTTTCCATCATCAACTTCTGTAAAGCCAGAACTTCCGCTCGATCTACCATTCGTTTTAATCGATTAAATGACCCATTATTATGACACCGTTGCATTTTTTTCACGCCATTTACTATCGTAGTCATAAGTACGCGCAGTCATCTGTGTGGTACGCTACCCTCGATAGTGACATTTCCAAATAAATTCTAATTATCTTTCAATACTTACACGCATTAGTTATGCACTATTGAGTGCGGTGGTCCATCACTGCTCGTACGCTTACTCAAGAAAAGTCTTTTTTGTGTCGTACAGTTGAAATATATAAATACCTTAATAAAAAGACATTGATCCTCTTACTGATTTCTACTACTTTTACGTTTGTTGTTCGATGACTTGTTCACTGATCCAAAGAGCCGTATGTTTGTTGGCGTATAGCTCCTCTTTTTGTCCGGATCTGACTCAGCATCAGAATGCCCCCATCTTGTTCGCGGTAGCGCCCGAAGGCCTTTTTGTTGTTGTTTCATCGTCGTACGTCTAGATCATTTCCCGCAAGTGAGAACGCTTTTGAGATGAAGACGATGCACTCACACACATCTGCGCGGCCGACCGTAACGGTCGTATGAAGCGGGTGAGTCGTCAGTAGGTACTCAGGCTGGCTGCACTAGCGGTACGTGTACCCAACAGCAGAATCGTGGCTGTTGCCCTGTAGCTTTAGCCGCACGCCGACACAACTGACGGCGTTTTGCTGTGCCGACGCTTACAGTTTCTCATGGGCGGCGTCCGTGGTCGGTTACTCTCGTGCTGTACCGTTACGTCACTAACGATAGGAACGGAGATGGCACAGGTAACACAGCCAACGTTAACGACAACAACGGTGACAAGACGATCGCTTCCCTTCCAGAATATCAGGAGGTGGCGAGGGATTCTAGAAGAGGGAGAACAGGCTACCGCTGCGACGAGCCGGCGTTGTAATAGAGCCTATCAACCAACAGTAGCATCTTCACCGCGACCAGCCATTGGCCCACGCCTAAAACACATTTCACAAGTACGCCGGTGCTCCAGTCGCGCTTGGAACCAGCCAAACGGTCTGGCGCTAGAATTCTGAGGCTGTGTATATTTATTCAGTAGTAATTGCAGGTTGATTCGAACTAGAGAACGAATGACGTCTAGTTGACGTTAGACTTCTAATTGGAGACATTAGAAAAGCGCATCGCACACCCACCGTCTAGGACGCTAGTAAAACACAACCGGTATAAATAGTGCGTTCGTGGCAAGAAGTTTCTAACTTCTGTCGTTCGGGGGTTTAGTCGAAACGGCGAATTTACTACGTACAACAACATAATGACAGATATCGATAAACTTTCCGACCACTAATCAGACCTTGTGACGTGCTTTAAAAACACAGAAGGACAGGTCCGCCGTTAAATTGTCTAGTTATTTATAGAAGGCAGGAAAACATCGCCAAAAGTAAAGAAACAACAGAAAAAACCGAAGTGGAAAAAATCTGCTTGGAAGAGTTCAGACAGATGTACACGCCGATTACAGAGGTGAGTGGCCTTCTCATTGGTACCAGGTCGTACAGAGAAGCAACGGTCTGTAAATCCTATCGTTGTATGTGATTTCGGCATCTCAGACACTTTTCTAAAACAGCATTAGGTTGATCTGTAAATTCTTGTGCTCGCCGAAATTCACTCAGATCACTACCTGGTGCCTGGAACAATCCATGCCTTTTCTACGAGGGTTGGCCGATAGCTTTTCTCACCATTCTGCGAAAGACACCATTTATTTGCTTTAATTCCCTTAACGCTCTGTTTATTACCCTTATTTAGAGCTCTGCTTCCTTTTCTAAATGCGTTGTTAATGTCTGACTTACTGTTTATACCTTCATTGTATGTAAATAACTTTTTTTCTAGTTCAACAATAGATGTTCAAATATGCTTTGTTTGCAACTGATGTATATAAGATTGAAGAATCATGATTGCTTTGTTATAAATAAGCTTTCCTTATTGCGCTGAAGCATACACATTCTGTTTAGTGTGACTGCATAACGGGATAAAATTCTCAGATCAACCGAGTAATGCTGCTTAAAACGCATTATTGCTCCCGATTTCAATCTAAATTGGCCCGGCTACAGGTGCCTGCATACGTTTCAGAACATGTGCCGAATCTCTGCTTTATCCATACACAAAATGCCACAGGAAACACAAAGCAAATATACTTCGCACGGATGCCGCAGCGTTTGCCGCCGCGATTTTCTGGGCTTCTGTCTGCTTAGGAATTTTTGCTATCGGTCAGTAGTTAAGGGCAAATGTGTACGAAGTGAGCGCTAGTTATGAAGAATCTACTTTAGAACTTGTACTATCTTATCTCACCAGGTTCTCAGTGGACACTATACTAAGGTAGAGCTCTAACGACCTAGATAAAATGTACTCGCTTAGGTAAACGGGGCGCTTGTTCGCTGCGTCCCCGCTTGACTCTACCTTGCTTGAGAACAGTTTTCTATCCGAACGCGTGTCAAGCATTGAATATATATATATATATATAGGTACGGCGTGCGCGTTTGTGCTTATGTATATTTATCGCGTGCTATGAAACCTGTATGAGATATTTGGCTTGTCCTTTACCGGATCTCTGTGAACGTTGATGATGGTAAAAGATTTTTTTATGCAATCTAAATTCAGCTGAACTATACCTGTTCTTAACGCGTATAATAATAATATAGGATCCGAATTCAAATTAAGCTCACCCTGTGAGCGTCTATAAGATGCCAGCGAGGTCCTGGCGCATAGATCCAGAGCATTCTTTTTAGGATTACAGTACAATGTTGTTTTAATTTTCCTCAAGTTTTAAACTAAAGTAAGCCGTATCGTGTTGTGCTCCCTTCCATGCTGTCAAATCTGACAGTTAGAAACCTCCACTGCAGACATTTCATAGGGAAAAGGGCGGACACCATTTTGCTTGTATGTAGAACATGTCAAGGGACATATTTTCCTGATGGACGATACAAAGAACTAACTAGCAAATTAAACTGGAACAACATGTTGAAGTTAATTGTTCGAGCTTATGCCTGCTAATGAATAATCGAAAACAAAGAGGAGCATCGGTGATTAAGGCAAGTACAAGTCCTTCGCTGAAGTGAAAATTCAAGTATAGAATATAAATGTTTTGAACTTTTTATGTTGGATACAACTATTAGGCATTACCTCAAATCCACTTCTATCTCTGCCCACAATGATCTATTCTTGTTCAATTTACCTCGAAATTGCTCAGGGCAAAAAAAGAAGTTGTCGGCTAGACGTGCCGTCAAGTGGCAGAACGAGATTGGTTAAGACTGATACAGTTTTCGAAATGCACGAAAACGACAAGGGCAATCACATTGTACTTTGAAACAGGAAGATGGATAGCCCTTTTCGAAAGGGCACATTATCACTTGCTTTGCGAGCTTTATGTAATGTTTCAGCTAGCTTTATACTACCCCTGCCTCTGAACAATGGTTGAAGACGCCAACGTCTATTTAGTATACGTTATTCAAGCGATATCTGTTCCACTCTGCTGAATTGTACGGAACCGAATATTTACTGCATTTCAGCGCTTCCATTTGTGCTCGGATGGATTTACAAATATGAAAATCAACAAAATAATAACATGCTTTCAAATGCGCCTGTCTCAAGGACGTATCTGATAGCAGTGGTCAATTTTCATAGCATAGCAACCAACGAGAACAACTGCTATCATGCTGAAAAACTGCCGAGGTACTGGAAGGTCATTCGGGTAACATTGACAGCTGATTCACTATCGACACAATGCTATATATCCGCCTTCATTTTCAATAAAAATGAAACACTGCACTGATGCGGAGATGTTCCTCACCGTCCAGCGATTCAAATTTGAACTTTGCGCCAGTTTCCCCAAACTTGAATCGGCGCCTATCGATAGAATTCGTTTTTTCGCTGTCTTCAAGGAAATCAAATGTTACCTTTCAGATATCGAAATATAATGCATCGGTAATTGGACGTTCGCGATATAACCCGTTATTCTAACGGCTGGTCGGGCGGATTGCCCGTCAGGGTTGTCCGGAATTTGCGGTTGTCAATTAGCTATGCGGCTTCAGCGGCGATGGCGGCTTGCGCCTTCTTCAACCCGAACCGTTTCCGCGGCTTTAATCGCCTTTACGCTACTGATTGATGCGACGGCAATTATTGCCTATGATCCATACGACTATCGAGAGGAATACAACCTCGCCAATGTCGGTAAGTTCTGCAGATGAATGGAAAGCGAACTCAAACTTACCAAGATTCGGCTAATCGTTCCCTTTTGAGCCCGCAAAAATAATCTCCATGGGCCATTTATTTTGCCTTTAACAGATTTTAATTCCTGCTCTTTGATGCTTCACTATTTTTTCATAAAACACTTCTCTTTGTTATGATTATTATAGACGTTTTTGGTGGAGTTCCTAAGAATAAATGTATGCTATAGGATAGTTCTAGAAGTTTACCCGGATCGAATGAACGAAGACGTTTCAGCAGTGTAAGTCTAGCCAGTAAATGGGTAGCTTGAATTTGAAGAAAGAAAAATTCAACAGGTCAAACTATTCTCTAAATGAAAAAAGATTTTCAGGTCGGGCAATCCATTCCAAATAAATATCGAACTTTGGGAGCTGGATAATGAAACCTGTGATTATGATAATTATCAAATCAGCTGAGAAATTCCTCGCAAAATATGAACCTGAAATAAATGGTTAAGCGCCATCGTTTGGCCTTTCTGAGAAATGTTTCAATCCCTGATGCGTGAGGGGAATTTTCGTGTTAAAGGAAAAAGTCCGGACCATCAAAACGGGGACGCAGAAGAGGTAGTGTGCGCTTTATATTTATTGACTGTAAAACGGCACAGGCAGATTTACGGGTACGTCTCGCTGGAACCAGAACGCACACACAGCAGAGTAGAGAAGATCGGTCTTTAGGTGCGCGTTGAAAGACTTACATTGTCGGCTAGCTCGTTAAGTAAACGACAATTGTTCTATTCATATTACTCTCAAATACCCGTTGTTCAGAAAATATGCCAGAACAATATTTCCAGAAGGGTGCCGCTATCGTCGACGGCCGTCCTAGTACTGCTTGAGCTGCATAGACTTTCGTTGATAGACAGCTTTTCAAATGGCTAGAGCAGGTGAACGTACATGTATCCGCCCATAAATAATGCCGCATGGCGACGTTTTGCCGTTGATCTGATATATCGAGGAACTTGAACGGAAGTTTATCGACTTCATTATAAAGTGCTACTCGATAAACGGCCTAGGTAACTGTGATTAATAGATCAATATATTCTTGAGCACATTGAACAGCGGCACCATTGAGTATATATATATATATATTCATAGTGTTCGAGCATACACTTTGCCAATCGTAGGTGTTGACTGGACGCGTCAGCATTTGCTGAAATGATTTATACAACCTAACGTGAGTACCATGCGATTTGTAACTACAGTGTATAGTCCATTAGTAATCACACATATCGTGTCACATCATATACGTGTTGTGTTTGCATCGCCGAATGAAGAGATGCGGCTTTTGCTCGTGAAACCTATTACGTTCTTAACTGCCGCCAGCAATACGTTACAATGCAACAAGCACAACGACAACAACGTTAATAACAAAAAATGATGATAATTTTAATAAACATCGATAATGATAGCAGTAGCAGCGGTCGCGGTAAAGACCCTGACAATGAAACGTCAAACGGTGCCGGTGGATGCCACCAGGTGGCGCCAGCAGACCACCGCTTCGGCAACGTTAAGACAACGAAACGGTCAAAGCGCTTGGAAGGGCTGTCAACAGCACTGCCGCAGCCGCTGTTACAGCATAGACCGCAACGACTATGTTACGGTGTTCAGTGGCAATCTGCCGGCTATTGACTCGATATGACATCGTACCAAAGGACATCAACCGAAGATCGACAGACCAGCTACGCTTGACTGGACTGATCCTTCATTCCGATCCAGATTGTCGCTTTATCCCCGCCATTGTTGACGAGTAGTTCATAGGTAGACCGCATCGCTGCTACTGCTGCTGCTGCTGCTGCTGCTGCTGGCAGCATTCATCTTCTGAATCGTGACGGGACAATCTTACCAAATCGACCCGCTGCAAGCTGGCCCGTTTTACGTCAACCTTTCGTCGTCAAATATTGACTGGATACTGTTGCTTCCATGTTCGTAAAGCAGTCTCTCTCCTGACAGGGCACGACCCGTGTGGCTAAGTAGCATGCGCGTCAAGAATACTACCGCGGCCATCTTAGCAGCTGGCAGCTAACAAGCGAACGGGCGTATTCTGAATAATAGGCGTGTATTACCTGCCATCGCGGTTGCTAGCCGTCCCACTTTCCGAATTTATAGCAAAACAGCCAAATTATTAAAGGCTTTCAAGATCATCATCGTTCGCTATCGCCGTGTATCATTAGATGTGAACACGGGAGAAACAAACGTAACGAACATTATATCGACAATGACTTCTCACTACAGCCCGAAACACAGAATTGCATCCTTAATATATGTAGAATATTTTTTCTATTTCACTTGAACGAGTCTGCCCGTGAGAGTGGTACGTTTGCTGTTGGTACGATAGGGCGTTCTGCGGATACAAATCCAAGTGTGAAGATTTGTCTAACCTAGAGTTTTCCGCATACTATCACAGCGAGGGCAGGACAGGTCATGAAGTAAATCAGAGGCAGATGTTCAAAAAAACCACTTGAAATCGACAAATTACTATCCGGAGCTATTGAACTGACGAAAAGGTTTTTCTTATTATGGAATAAACTATCTGGTCTGTACGATGGCCGATTGTAGGTTATTTATAACCATACTCAAAAAAAAAGATATGTTCTCACGATCAACTTTAGTGCGGCTGTTGTGATGACGTTGCCGGACAGTAAAGTTTTACCGGCCCCCCAACGACAAGAAGCGTTCGCTCGATTTTATAGATTAATGCTCATTCAAGCTTCTTCATTTTTTTACTTTCATATATCTACGAGACGATTCTCTCACGAGACGAAGAGGGAACAATGCTATAGCCCGGTGTATCAGGCTTTCTCAGTGCTAACAAGGTGTTTATTCTCAAATGGATAGCAACAGCTTTATGAAAATAATCCATGAAGAGATTCATCTAACGGATCACTTGTAACAAAATCTTGCCACAGCAAAGATCATATCAGACTGAGCGCCCCAAAGTCTGTTTGATTTATGCCCGCTGTTTTTCGTTGCCTCAGTTCGACAACGTATGGTCACGCAACATGACCCATCTTTTTGATTATTTATCGTTAGGGTCTCGTATTGGCTATTATTGGGGATCCCGTCTTATTGTGTTCGGAATTATTAGATTAAATGGGTCCTTGTCTACTAAAGAGTTTCATTTTTGAAGTGATGATATACTGGAAACAATTTACTTTTAGGTAGAAACGTCGAACTTTGCATTAAAAATTAGCGAGCGTCAAGATCCGTACGTTTGCGATCGCTGCCATGTAAAATGCTAAATAAACAAACGAAGCCAACATTACTTTTCTCTACTTCTGTAGGCGTTAGTAATTAAAAAAGAATGAAATTCAAATGTATCGGGCTTCTGTATGTCTAAATCATACAGAATTGGTTTGCGAGTCTGGTTTTGGTACCTATGTGTTAAGCTTAATTTTGGCAAGCCTTATCTTTACTGCCTTGATATGGCACGGCTTAATTTATATGCTGAAAAATATTATGGCATGCGGCCAAACAGCTTCCAGTCTAGGCAGCGTGTGACGCAAACAGGCATTGAATTAAAAGACTGAACCATTTGTTTCATCCTACTCAGTTCCGTGGGGTGTAACGTCATCAGATCGCCAATTTTGCTTACCTATGACGATTTGTTGTTGAGCAAGATTTCTGCAGATGGTCATTCGTTCTTGGTACTCTTCGATTTTCTATTATTAGGTGTTTAGAAATTCGTTTTCGGTTCGCGCGCTGTCAGGATTTAGTTCGTCCAATCATTTCTAGAGGTGCTATAGTGACTAAATTTGTAATTATTTCTACCCTGTGTCTTATAATAACATCTCATCGTTTTCTAACCGACCCCCAATAGTGATTGGAAGAATTATCTGTGGGCCAAAGAACGGTAGAACTGCGGTGCCCTTTTTTTTCCACTACAGCTCAAACAGCCCATATTTCTCCGCGTGAACTGACACCGACGTCCGAATATTGCGCTTGGTACTAACAAGAGGAAGCTAGCGAATTAAGTGGTAGGATGCTATCTCTGTCATATTTGGAAGCGATTTGATGCCTAAATCATGCAACCCGGTATTATACAACGACCACTTCCCTAGTAGATTCAAAAGCAGCTTTTTCTCTGTGCTCAACTGGCAAGCTTCGCATTTCTGTCTCTTGGATCATTATAGCGTAACAATCAGATGAAAAGGGTAGTTTCTCGAAGTGAGCTAGGGCCAGTTGGAAAGTCACTTGGAACGTGCCGCTGAAAAGGAATTTTCGAATCTTCTCAAAAGAAGACCGCGATTCTTCGAAAATATATGCTTGCCTCACAGTCGTCATTGGTGCAAGTGAAGAACTTTAATTGCTCGAAAGTACGCAACAAACTTTTTCCTGTCGCCTACATAAAACAAAGACACAGTTCGGAATGGTCAGTAGTATTTCTGCACAGAAACACGCGCAATCTAATTGTGACATTGTTACGATTTTAGAACCTGAACCAGAGGTGTTCATCACGCTTTCAGCGGCTGTCGTGAAGAGCCGCGGAGGTCTGGCGGAACGGCGAATTCAGCTGAATTGGTTTAATATCGACGTGCGACACGCTAGCTCAAGGCACAGTCTAGGTCACAACCACACGCTCTACCTCCTGCGAAGGCCGGCGGGTTTATTTAGAATAGATGAGGACGCCGTATTTAAGCGAGATATTGGCCTGCAAAGCGATGGACAGATCACTACCCACATCAACTTTCCCAGGTGAGTTCGGGGATCACGGCAGTGGTTTTTTTTCGTATTGACTTAACACATTTGTGTGCTGTTGGTCATACTTGAGGCAAAATCAATAACGGTTTGAATTTAGAAGTTCTTCCCAGATCTAGTCTGACACCAACCAGGATGTGCATTCACGGATTTAGGAAACATGACAACAATACGGTGTCATGATTTTATTTTCGTCTAATTCGACCTTAAATAAAACGACAGTGCAGGTCTTTGACGGCTGAAGTTTTTGAGGTTTCAATGAAATTGTTTTTTATTCTACTCTACCAGAAATAGTGAAAAAAATAAAACGGGAGAGCTTAGTACCAAGAACAAAGGTAGCATGTTCATAACGTCTCTAGCGGGTATTACTCTCCAACAAGGAACGCCACTGAAAACCCACAATGCCTATAGTAGAAATGCGCTATTATGGTACAGCCCTAAGAGTTTTTTTTGAAGAATAAGTTTCACGTAAAAGCATCAATCAGAAGGAAGGAAGGAACCCCCTGAGAACCCTAAGAGTTTCCAAACCCAGTACAAGGCCTGCGATTTAACAGGTGGCTCTACGTCGACAGATTATTTTTAACGGCAAATACAAGAAATAGCATTCATCCCAGAATGAGCTAATGGCATCCAATGCAATGAAATACTTGTAGAATAGGACAATTCTGACCCTGCTTTTTCATTTGAGCTTATATATTTAAAACAGGCGTGTTGTTCCTAAACAACCCGGACAACATCGGATTATCGTTGCGTTTGTAATTCTAAATTGAGAGGAAGCTGTTTTTAGAGAACTTGCGTCCTTAAAGCGATTTATTTTTTCCGACTGACGCTCAACTTTAGCTGCGCTTGTTGTGTGCATAGGAGCTAAGTTGCAAACCAAAATTACTCTAAAACTAGATTTGTATACGATACCGGCGTAGCCTAATATGCACCGACCCAATGACGTATTTGTGATTTATTAATGTCCTCAAAGTTTCCGAGGATGGGCGTGTCCGTGTCACCGTCAGAAAGATTATTGCGTCATTGTGGCCCATTGAAAAAGCTGTCATGCAAGCACAGCATCTACATGTGTCGGCGGGGGTGAGCTGCTTGGTCTGGCCGACAGTTTTCTGGTTTCCGCTTGGGCCGTTAGCTAATCGAATCTTGCGCTTCGTCCCGAATTCGTAAGTAAGTAACAGCTGTCCGACTTGTCGATTTGGTAAAATCTGCTGTCGCCGCCGCAGCAAGTGGACATTAGTCTAAAGAAGTTTATAGTATTCGCTTTTGAAAAAAATCAGTCGACGAGTACTATGGAAAAGGTGGGCTTCTGCAGAAAGCAAGCTATGGTCAGCTCGCTGGCTGCCCTGCTGGGTCGGGTGGTGGCGATGGACCCCAGCGATCGGCCTCGTTCGGGCATTTCGTTGTTTCCGAATGTTTGATTGCTCGCGTTATGCCCACTCAGCTTGTGATCGAGTCACGACTTTGCATCCCTGGAGGCTATGCGAGAAAACCTGACTGTGTGTAATAACAATCATCCGAAAGACTTCGCTTGTTGATTCCAATGGTTGTTCCCCTGGATATTTCTCTCACTACTTGTAATTACAAATAACGCGTTTACTAGAACAGCAGGAATACGGACGAGAATAACCTACTGCATCTTGTTCTTTTGTCTGTGGAGACATTCATTACAAGATTGGTGAATTGATACGTAAGTCTTATGTGAAAGCCATTATATATGGCCCTTATGTAAAATCTACAGTTTTGACAAGTGTAAGCGTTCGATCAAATTACTATAGGAGATAAGCGTAAATCTTGACTTTGTTTGCCTAGTTCGATACATTATGATGTCTTTAGGGGATGATTTTCGAAATAATACACCACGTTTACAAGTCACGCCCTATAGTTTTGTTCTATAACTATTTATAAATGAGAACTAGTAAACAAAATAAGAATGCACTTTAGATACGTGAAATCACGTTTTGTTGAGAGCATGACCTTAAGCGAAATATCGGTAGCCACATGTACTGCCAAAACTAAAACGTAGGCCAGGCACCATATAAAACGGTTGTATGTCTACGAAACCCAAACAGCTTAACTTTCGTAGAGAGGTAAGAGATCGGGAAGCGCCAAAAAAGCTCTAGGATTTTCTGGGAATTGCATTCAAGTTCAACTAAAAAGCGGGCGGTCGCTTAAAATGCGAGTATTTGTTTGGTTTAACTATTCGAAAGATTTCTGGCTAAGCTGCATGCGTCCAACTTGGAAACGGTATTACTTTGAATATCAACCCATAAGACAATTATATGCTTCTGGAAATGAGTTCCGTGATTTCCCCCACGTGAGACGACATGTTCAACGACCCGGTTGGTTTATTTTTAAGAATTTCAATTTGGCTTTATTACCGTTGTTATTTACGAATGAAAATATTAACGAAAATTTTATTTTGCATTTTCGTTAATATTTTTATTTTACTAACACATTTTGGTCCTGTTGATGAACCCTATGTATGTTTAAATCAAGTATTTACTTTAACTTGCCCTCTTAACTATATTTACCGGTTTCTCAAATTAGATCAAAAGAAAAATAAGCTGTCCTAGCGCTCCATCAGTTCACCCTTATCACGGCCTTTTTAAGTAAAGCCAAATATAACCGCTTCGGTTGCATAGGCTACAGACTTGTGAAACGAGAGCACTCTCCTCTGCTGTTTTCTCATCTGGTAGCCTCTGTGAGTAGGACTTTGATGTCGAAAGGTTTGAGAAGTCAATGTCTCGTCTAGACCACCAACCAACTTATAACAACAAGTTTCCTAAGTGGTTTCAACTTTTCTATTAGGGCTCTGGATACTGCAATGAAGCATTGAGGAAATCCTGCGTTCACATTTTCAGGACTTCACTCCAAAATATGAGACAGTAACTCTGGAAATTTCTTTGTCTTAATTGGGCACGATTTTATATTTAGTAGAACAAATGCTCTGAAAATCAACTGTTTCAGGCAGGGAAATAGGCTCACAATCTGGGCAAGAAGGTCGGCAGAACTGAATCTAGAGATGAAGTAGAAAATTACGCAAATTATATGCGTATCGCTATTATTGTCAGGGCTGGTTCCGCCTTGATTTCGAATGGATGGTTATGAGCGAACCAGAGTTAGCTTTTATTTAGAAATATCATTTCCGTGTTGCAGTTGTGGCGGATCATTTGGTCCGTATTGAGGCGTAACTGTATGGAAGTTTGTGCTATATATTTTGGAAAGAAGCTTGCTGTGTCATTGTTGAAACACGTAGATAAACATGGCAATGTTCACTTCGGGAAGGCCATGTTTGAATAATGTGATTTTCTCTATTAGCATAGGCATTATGAATTGCTAACCGTCTACCACGAGTGCAGTCTGAAACTGGTAGTGATTGAATGGCTTCAATTAACGTGCATTCTGCATAACAGTTGGCGACTATTATCAGATGTGTGATTTTTGTTTTCATCATTGCACATAAGGGTCATCTTCAATAAGACGCATCTTCACGACGAGTGCCTGGATTACTGGGTAGCGCTAGTACGTCGCGAGCAGCTTCCGAGCGGCGGTCGTCAGCGAACCATGGTTGCCCACGGGTGCTTCCGAGCCCAGCCGTACTGGATGTGGAAAAATAGGCAAATGCTTAAGCACCTCACCCTACGACAGATGATGATACCGGGTGGGTGTGTAAGGTTCGATAATTTTTTATATTGTCAGTAGAGTGCGTCGCCGCGATGTAGAAAAACTACCGACAGAGATCGGAGTGTGAGCTTTTCGTAGAATCATTAAACGAAACACTGATATGTCGATAAATTCAGATTCAGAAACTATAGCAAACAAAACATTTGGTGGACTTGCAGCTGTGGTTGGAAGGAAAAAGAACAATGTGAAACTAACCTTTGAACGTATACGTATCGTACGTTCATCACAATTAAAATACAATAGATTATCAATTTTGTTACGCATAGGATAATAGCAATTTCCGCCGATAACCGTTTAATCCGTGGGTTCTTCTGTTCTTATTTATGTGTCCGAGTTAAGGGAAAGGATGAACCACTGGGAACTTTTTCAAGCCGGGATTTGCTATGAGTGAAAAATGATAATAGAGCACCGGCATTTGAACGTTTTTAACTAGTACAGCCTTACTATGACCTCTTCGTAGCAGGCACTTCGTATACGACTGGATCTGCTTTACAAACTCGGTGTTTATCATGTGTTAATCGACGAGATCAGAAGAATGTAAATACATTTACGAATAAATAGCTAATGATTGTTCAAATGGTCGCCGATTTTTATTACTGATATCGATGTAAGGCCTAACGTGGCATAGTTCCTATAAACATGGCTATATAGACACCGTTTCATGGTAAATTCGGTGGCACGTCATACTTCTTTTTGTTGAAGGTCGAAGCTTGTATTGTAAAATATGACAACCATTTGCTGCATTAATTGTACAAGTACAAACTCGTATCGATTTGCATGTGCCCAACCAGATCAGGGGCTTATGGGGCGTTCTGGTTCCGAGTCCCCTACCCCATTGTGTGCATAACTAACTGAGGGCAATTGCTTTCTCGCTAAACCCAAAAGTTTTCGTGGTTCTACTATCGTTTTGGTTATCTGTCATCCTCGCCGTGTAACTGAGCAGGAACGCACAATTCGGGCATGTATTCCTTCTATAACCCTCGAGCAATTAGGGTCGTCGCCGACTTTAAGTATACGCAGGAAGAGGACATCTTTAATCAACTCGCTTATGGGATTCGTTGTCTTGACCTTCGAGTTTCGGCCTCTGGATCAACGCACAGCCCGAAATATAAAATAGCTCACGATGTCCTCTCCGGCGATGCCAGCGTTCTCGAGGTCCTACGACAGGTTAAAGATTTCGTCGAGGTAAGGCCAGCGATCATCATTATTAGTTGTATGAATGATAAACATTTTAGATGATGACAAGGGGGCAGCCGATTATTAGTTCCTATGTTAGCTACCTACTCAGTGTGTTTTTATATATTCGATAATAGTAATAATGCGAAGGCTTTTCGAGAAGTCTGAAGAAGGATGCTGGCAGAAGCGAATTCGAAATTTCGCCTAACTGGTCGAGCGGCGTTCTTGGGTACCTATTGAGGCACGCCCTTTCCTTATGAAACGAAGACGAATTATAACGCTATAGATGCCTATTTACAGCTAAAACTGTTGGATATTTCCCGGTAGTGGTGAAGAAATGAGGCACTTCTTGAATCTGAAACAGTAACTTGTACTAAGAAAAAGTTCAGCAGTACGCAGTCATCGAGCCCGTGACTGAACGTGCTACTTCTTTCGACGACCTTCGCTGCGTGTCCGTTAGAACGAAGACAACATCGTGCTCATTGAAAATCAATTTTTAAGAGAACTCAGACAAATCTTATTAACACAGGGGTCATGCAGTCAGAGAGCGGGATGTTACGGCATTTCGTTCCGAATGTGAAAAGAAAACAACATACGTTTTTAGGCTTAGCTAGGTTATTTGTTAGCGTGCAAGTATGTAGTGACCTACATAATGCTATTGTAGCTTTTAATAATTGTGTTTACGGATAAAATAATAAGAACTTGCTTCACCAAAACAGGTTAGAGCTAACGTCAAAAATATTAGAGACCAACAAACATTTGCCATGTCTACATATTTGAATTCTATTAATTATCCCTATTTAAGGTCACTAACGAAATTGTGATTTTGGACCTGCATCGCTTTCCCAACGGATTCGATAATGAGGCTGCGCATCAGCGCTTTATCGACTTTTTGCGCCATGAACTTGGCGATCTGATCATTCCGTATAACACCGCACTCGACAGGTCCTTGCAACATATCTGGAGCAGCGATGGTAGAGGCCGAATTGTAGTATGCTACAATGCGCGACTTCTCACGGTAAACTCATCTCTTCACCTCGGGGTTCGCCACCTTTGGGCGGATACTAATCTACCCAATACTTTGAAGTCCTACTTCGATAGAAAGGTAAATTTAATGTCTCTTTTTTTTTCAAGTATCATGATTTACTCGTTGATTATTGCCTCCGTATCGCAAAAATGAGTACGTTACGCGTTCTTAGTCCCCAACGCCGGTACCATTGTCATTATAGGTATTGGTCCGCACTTACTTCGATAGTAATTGAAAAAAAAGTAGTTAGAATAAATTTTGAACATTTTATATCCCAGGATAACAAGAGGAAGTCGGAATGTGGCTAATCCCAACGGTAAAAAGCAGCTACTCTTTCTACTGAAGCTACAGATGAAAGTTCAATGTATTGGTAGAACGAAGGATATTTCTGAATGTATTATGCAAAAGCGCGAGCCATCTACCATGTTGTAACGGAAGCGCTGGTAAGAACGATGCACTCCTTTCTTCCGGTGACGTGCGACTGGTGCTGCCAACGGAACTTCACACCGTTGTCCTAGGTTTTATGGTAGAAACTACAAAAGCATTTCGCGCATTGTTATTAAAAGAACTAAAAGCATTCGATGGTGTTGTCCCAGAAGGCTTTATGCCTATTTATTATGTTTTGCTTTGTTACGAACGGAAATCAAAATGGTACACTTTTCACATTGGACAAGGCGTAGTACAATATGAAATAGGAACGCTTCAGGGGCACCCAGGCCGGCAAACAATTGCGCTAAAAAATTTTTTTGGGAGGATATAGCCTTATTGCAACAACTTATTAGTACAACTCGGCTATTAGAAGCGAACATCTGCTGCCGCATACAATGTCAGTGTTGACCTGCAATTCGCTCAAACGGGTTATGCAGCGGGGAGATCGTACCTATTTCGTTACCTATTTCGAAAAAGTACTGCCTTTTGAAGATTGGCTTACTTAACTGGCTCTCGGAGACATCGAAACGTGCCTAGGAACATGCAGAAAGCATACTTCATCGCACATGCTTTTTTGATCGATGAGAAGATATCTATCACTGAGTATCGGATGCTGGGAGGTAGATGTCGCGCTTACACTGGCTTTCAATTTTCATTTATACCAGTACGATAAACAAGTATTCTACATATCTCATGCTTTCATTTTGATTATGGGAGCTCATCCCGTAAAATTGTTGCCTTGGCCATCGTATAGGCGTGTTCACAAAAAAAAACTATCGACTATATACCTGTTGTTACGATAGTCAAATACTTTTCATTAAGTTAGAACAATTGTATGACTAATAGTTATTATTGATATTAATGGTAACGAAGGGCAACGTAATGTGATTCCAGTTCCTCGTTAAAGATATGATTTGCCCTATCGTACCGTTTTGGTTCATTAAATCAGCAGCAACAGTATTGGCTATATCAAATGGCTATCTGCTTAGACCTAGTAACTAAAAGAATGTTTTTGTCCTATTCACAAGGTATGTGAGGCTGAAAAGTATGGCCTATATTATTTCCACGCTGCCATGGCCGAGCTGACGCCAACGGTCGTGAATATCATCTTTGAGGGTCACAAGGGCGGCTTGCGTAAGATGGCCGACGAAACAAACCCACTTGTGGCTCGATGGTTCCGACGTGAGTATCGAACCTGCGCCAACATTGTTGCTACCGACTTTTTCCTCGGGGCCGACATCGTCAGCGTCGCCATCCAGAGCAATATCGAGCGGTCAAAACTGTATCGTATAAATTAGTTAGCTTTGACACCATATGTCTGCGCAGTGTCCCGTACTTTGGCCTGGTACGCTTATGTGCGTCTGTGTGTGTACGTCTAAACGTCTTACGTGCGCGTTTATTCTGTGTATATGATATGTAATTCAGAGATACTTGAAAACGAATGAAAACGTAACAGCAAAATGTTTGTCGTCCACAAATTAAATGATTTGGATTATGTAAACTGTATATAATTATTCTAAAGTGTAAAAAATCATTCTAAAAAAAAAAGTTACCGTTGATATATCTAGGCTTTGCTGGAGGACGTGAACCATACAGATTACGACAAGAATACAAAGCTAACCGCAGCGAAGAGGTACCGTGATAGGTAGAACATCGTCTACATTGTATATATATATGTAAATAACAAGCAGACAAACCAAAAGGATCTAGCAGAAGGGTCTGCTGGATTCTTAAACATGAAATAAAATCTTAACGATAATTGTCCTTATATGTCGGCGCGTTTTTCGCTATTTCGACTATCTAAAATAAGCGCTTTACAATAGGCATAAGCTTTTCGTATTTGTAAGGCTCTGTAGCCATTGACCAATTTCATAACCGCTGAACAAAGGTTAAGGGCATTTGGACTAATATAAGTTACGCTCACAAACGCTAGCTAGGCCCATTAGATCTCCTTAGAAAAAGTTTCCCTTTTGCCTTGAAAAATTATTATGAATTCTGTAAATATGTGTTAGCTTAATATAAAATTGCTAACGCGATTTTAACTTAAGAAGGGCCAACGATGTTACTCAACTAAAGCTTCATAGTTTTTTTTGGCTTTTTTCCGTGTGATTTTTATAGACAGTACACCTATGAGGGTCAAAACTATACCTTTGTCTAACTTACAAGGGAAAGCTTTAGATCTCTCCAAAAATTTTTTATGCCTGTCCATTCTGTTACGCTGCCTAAGGTAGCGGGTAGGGTGCCCTCAGTGAACTTCCAAGTGAAAAGTCGTCGCAGATTATACCGTTTACGCGGCATAATCGAAAAGCTACACCCCCGTAATTAAACTATTATCCTTAGAACTGGTTAGAGGTAGGCTGCATGAGATTGAATTACGAAAGATTATTTTTACGTAATCAGAGCAGAGGCACAGAGTGGCTCCTGAATGACAGCAGAATCGGATGGGGTCCTTGGGAGGTCCTAGCATCATCATCACCTCAGCATTTTAATGCGAGCAGAGTGCTGTTATCGACGAAGTTATCGAGCTTCGGTTCGGAGCAAGTGCCGAGGTTTGTTCCCAGATGAAGGAAAGTATGACAATGATAGTTTGTTCAATAACAAAAACAATGAACGCTGGCTTTTATAAAACGCCCTCTAGAAACATTACCTCTTAGACAATACTAAGTCGTTATCGTTGCCTCGATTATCGTTATTATGACGCGAATCACGTATGTAGCCAAGTTACTCGTGTCTACGATGGAGTCTGCTACGAGTGTATGCTAAAATTGTTTTTGTCGTTCGTCACCATGTCGACGCCATCGACCGCTGACCAATTCTGATTTTCAAAACTTCTTAAAACAGAAAGCTATTCGCTGTAGACAGGTCGTTCGCACCCATGTCTATGTATATATATATACATATGTATATATATACGTGTATATATAGGCGTGAGCTTCTATAACAGGAAACGACCAACGCAGAATGGCCAAGAGCCAAGGAGCAGGATGATCGGATAACAACGATGATATGGGTCAGAAAGACGACCTCAGGGGCCGTCGACGGATAACAACGCCGACAGCGTGGGCTGCTACCCCATTCGAAAACGCTGCCCTGTTAGATGATGAGTCGGACTCAAAATGTGTAGTAGAGTATCTTCGCGACATCTGCATTGACAAGTGAGCGAATGTTACATACTTTATTTAGCATATCATCTATTGCCCTATGAGATTACGTGCGCGTCTAGCGAAGTTAACATTGTAGTACGCTTTTAAATTTTGACTAATGGATACACACAGCTGGTAACGGACCGCCATTTATGATGTGTTTAGCCACTGAAGTTGATATGGATCGAATTAGCCTTGTATCCTACACTTTTATGAAGAACGGTGGTAACGTGTCCTTTTCGACTTAGGGGCGTAACGTTAATCTTTGGCTAGAGCCTTTCTAGACATTACCAAGGAAGCCGCGGGAGCGCGCGCTTGACCTTCGTGGGGTTGTCTGAAGTGCTAGAATGGTTTGGAAGTATATAGACGAAATCATGACATTTTAGTCCAATTATGTCATTTTATTAAGAAGCACATAGTTTGAGACATGAGGCGATTTAAGATCAATTTGAAGTAGTTTAGAAATCAATGCATATAAATTTATGAGAGTTTAATGGTAAAACTACATTTCCTTATAGGAGTGTCAGGGATTTCTACGTTGAAGTATTTTACATTTATTTGTATCTATATATATTTAACATGCTACCATTAGTGGAATAGTTTCAATGCTGCGACAAATGTAGCACGTTTCTCATTGGATCTGGAGAGTACTGCTACTTCTATTACAGCAGTTTCGAAGATTCAACAACCGAGGGAAATATAATCGTAGGACGTATGTTTATCGATACTTTTTCGGTTTTTAAGACGTCTGTAACATCTGAAATTTAGCATAGCGTAGGTATAACTTATACAGTCCATCCACCCACGTGAATCTTTACGCTATCTGTATGGCTTACGATTATTAAGAGATCTGGAGGTCGTCTCTTTTTTACCACTACCTTTCGCTTACGCTTACATAAGCACGTAGCGCTGAAAAGTTGCAAGAAAAAAAATAAAAACACAATATTAGCCGATTTCTCGTTATAAATTGATTATATCGTTAATACTAGTAAATAATTATTTTTCTCTTTTTATTATCTCGACTGTCGTTTGTTCTTAAATAACGACTAATAAATATGACATTCCGTTCATCGAGGTAGAAATTTTGCCAAGACAGATTCGTAGACACGGGTGACTATTAAGTGTTTCTGATATGTTTTGTCTATGCTAAAATAGATTTATTTACGCCTTTTTTAATAGTTATACGTTACAGTAGTAAAGAAAATAAGTGCGGTGCAGGTAAATGCTTGTGTTTCAGAGAAGTTTCCGATTTGCGTATGTTGAATGAACAAGTTCTCAGTGGGAAAACTTTACAGTATTGGGGTAAATATAGGCAACTTGTTGAAAGCATATAGATATATTGTAATTTACACGCCATTTCTATGGCTAGACGTTTATTCAACGGGAATTACACAACTTTTTTCATCCCACTTATGTTTTTTTTAATACCGTTCGGTGTATTGCGTTTCCTATCTGTTAAAATTCATCACGAATGAGAGAAGCAGGAGACACTTCTATGATAAGCTGAGTTGAATTGTAGCCTTACGGAATTATGGGTCCGCAATAGACCAGATGTCTGTTGTCATTTGAGGGAGGCCTCGTATTTGTTCAGAACTTGTCGGTGGCTCTGTGCCGTAGCACTCATGGAGCATTGCGCATAAATAGCTCACAAGCGCAGTGCCGGTTGTCGTTCGCCCGAACGTCAGTTTGTTTTATCTAGTCATGCTGCTGATTTATTTTTGTATTCGACCGGAAGGTTTAGGCAAGAGATAGGGGGCACCTGACCTTCGATTCGGTTGTCCATAGTTGCCCGCGTTTAGTTTCGAAATGTCGCAATCGGTAACGACGCATGAATCCTTTGACTGGATGATAGGCACAAAAAAAGTGCCGAGAAACAATCGGCAAAAACATCATTTCTCAAAACTGTGCAGAGATAATAGAGCGCTTCTGCAGTAGGTACGCCGCGGCAAACAATATCCCACAATTCGTGCCTTTGTACGCTGGTGTATGGGATGAATAAACATCTATGAAGAGCGAGGCTTTGTTGGCGTTTGATATGGCTCTCATTGACAAATTTCAAGGAAGTTTGCACAGTGCGGAGCGCGACAGAATATGTCGCAGTGACCAGGACAATGCTAGAAAAATATTCGCTGAAACTAAATGACCGGGTGACTCAACAGGGGCATTTATCCAACAGTCGAACATGCACAGGACAATAAACTGAACCCTTCTCTATTTTTTCGACATCTAAATGACAGGCAAGATTCGGTAGGGCAGGCAAAAAAAAGTGTTGTTATACGCCGAGGATCTCGTCATCTTTCGAAGGGGACGACTTATGTGTGGTAAGCTTTCACCAGGCTGTCGTATTATATGTATGAGGATACATTGTAGATCAACGTAGACACGACACAGAGCAAGCAGTTCCGCCGTCGAAACCGTAATACTGCTCCTGACACATTCCACAATAGGCAGAAGGACACTGAAGTAGGTGCATAGCTTCAAATATTTGGGGGTGACGAACGACCGAACTTTTGCAGAGCACATCACGAACAGAGTACGGCTAGCGATAGTTGCAAGGATGGTCATACATGTCTTCGACACGCTCCTTCCACGCGGAACTTGTCTTGTTTGAAGTAAAGGTGGCTTCAATTACTTCTAACAATATCCTTATTGTCTGGGAATAAATCTCATCGAAGCAGCTCTACTCAACTGAGTCGGATCATAGTTTTTGAAATGCACTATAGGCCTGCATCATTCATCTTTGAAGATATACGTATACTTTCTAAGCAACATACGGCTACTTATAATAGAAGATCTAAGACGCAGATTCAAGCTACCTATCAGCCCTTTCTATTTGGAGTTCCCCAGCACATGGGAAAAGATGGCGAATATCCACTCTCACTTTTACGATACGGGAGCTATGACTAATGAAGCTTGGAATAATAAATCGGACAGCCTGAACCGGTACATCGTTAGCCGTCTTCCAGCACACGGGTTTCATCACGTCATGAGCAAATTTTTATTTTCCAGGGGCCAAGTGTGCTTCCATAAGGTAGATTTCAATATACTCCAGGTACCATGCGATGTCCTATCACTGTACTACTATAGTATTATCACTGAGGAATCTGTCCGACAGGGCATATAGATCCTACGATTTTATATGGAAAAAATTTTGACGTTACACGTTTATCTTATAGAATTGTATTTTCTAAACACAAATAAGTGGAAATGCTCCACTCGACATTAAAATGTTTACTTAAAAGGGTAATTAATCACTAAAAAACAAAGCAGGTTCCGACTGCTCGAACATTTCCTAGAGAATTACGTAAGCAAGTCTCATTTAAAGTTTACACGGACTCTTTTCTATGAATAGTCATTTCATAGCCTTATCATAGTTTTAGCATAAAGGATGGCTAGACAATGTTCACACTAACGATACTCAAACATTTCTTAATAATATGACGCATCGAGTGGAGATGAGATCTAAAACAAACTCAATGTAAATTTGCAAAAACATTTACAATGTTTTTATTAGATATCTAAAACATTGCTTGTTGATATCTCAATACAACTAACAAGTCTATTTAACCCTGTAAATGGCCTCCTATAAATAAATGAAGTTGGGTATTC